GGCTAAAAAGATTGATTTTGACTGTTTTATGACTCAACGATTCTTCATAATTGTGGCCATGTTCTGTATAACTGAATCTTATTGGAAAACATTGTAACTGATTTTCATAGTAACACAAGGGGTATCATCTCTAGTGGTTTATTGTGGCCACGCCCAAGTCTTTTCGTTTAGTTACATTGAAAATATTGTTAGCGTTTGTAGGTTGCATTGTACTCCCTTCGGTCCAAATTAATGCAGAACATGGGCACAATTAATTTAAAATTGTTCTAAAGATGCGTTGATTAATTTGGATCAGAGGAAGTAGCTACTTAGATCAACGTCGAACTAATCCAAAGTTCCAAACACTAGCAATAAGAGGGGTTTGACAAAAAAAGAACTAGTCTGAACAGAGTGAGTACAAACCAGGGTTTTGAAATTCGGCCGTAAAAAATGGATTTCGGCCGAATTTCGGCCATCTCGGCCTAGGGCGAAATCTATTTTCCGCCGAAATTGGTCAAATTTTAATCAAATTTCAGTCAAAATTTGGTCAAATTTCGGCCGAAATTTTTAAAAACGACCGAAATTCGGCCATCTCGGCCTAGGGCGAGAAAAATCACAAACCGAAAATCAAAACGCTGCTACAAACCCATTTTCAAGTTGTAATTGTGAAAAGTAATACTGTTAGTCGAAAAAACTAAGGTGTGTAGGTATTATATGTATACACTCAATCTGAACTTCTTTAATAAATAATGTGATTATTTGTGACCTGCGTGAGGTTTTGCCGCAAAATTTCGTAAAATGAGCTGAGCCATGCCCAGGGTCTTGAAACTGTGGTGCAGCAGTTGCACGCATGGCTCCCACCTCCCAGCCTCTGCAGCACGTGCTGGGCGCTGCTGCCGGTACGTCCGGGACATTTCCAGCATTTTCACCGGGAAGAGAAAGGTGGATGAAAAGGAGATGGGCATGCAGGATGGGGACGCAGGGCATGCATCCCTTCCATGAAACGTACTCCTCCTCCCTGCCCCTATGATTTTCCCATGAAAGGGAGGGGAGCATGGCACGAGCTGAGCGCGACTTTAAGGAGGCCGGCCGGCCTGATGGCGGAAGCGTTGCCTTGAATCGCAAGAGGTCCAAATCGCTCCCTGTGCTGCGTACTCTACACTCGGCACCCTAGACGTCGATGCTACCCGTGAGTTATGACCCTTCGCTTCCATCGCCTCATTTACAGATATGGAAATGTAACGTTGCACGGTTCACATTTTCACTTGTGGTACTACGTACAAAATGGCGTGGGCTTAACTTGTCGTCGGTTTGGTTCGCTGTGGGACAGAAAAGTGGCGTCGTGTGTGCGTGCGTGCTTGTGGAAAACGAAGGGGAAGAAGCTTGGGAAAAGTCGCGTGATGTTCATCCATGGAGGAGGACAAGGATCGGACCCGCGAGATGGAAAAGTTTGGGGGATGGGTCGGATGATTGGGTGTCCGGCCGGCCACGGCAGAAGAAGAGTGGAGATCGGTCTGGACGCAAAGTGGAACAAACGGTGATGTTGTGGGGGGTCCAAGCAAGCATGAACACCCTCGGCTGCACGCTCCGCGGTCCTCCGCGCGCGTGACAACGCCGCACCGCTATGGCGCTATGCTCTCCCCCTAGGCTAGTCACCCAACCCAGCAGCGTCACGCATCCGCTCCGATCGATCCCTCCACGGCAGGATCGAACCTATCCCTCCCAGATTTGTGCCAAACACGATAGATAGATTCATAGATAGTCATAGATGGGAATCGATGCTACTGTATTTCTCCTACACAAAAGCCACCCGGACTGATCTATCTACACCACCGCTATGCCTATGCGTAACCTTAAAGTCATTAACCCTAAATAAAATACTCCCCCATCTTACGGATCTAAATATAATCCGGCAAAGGCCCCCCTTGCTCGCTCGCTCGCTGGAGGAATCTTTCTAAGAGCTTCTTTGACCGAGATCACGACCGGCCGGCCGGCACGCCCAAAGGAGCTCGAGACAAGGCTAGGCTACATTAGATTAGGCCAGGGTTTGATTAATCCCGGGCGCTCGTGGCGGTCGCGGGGGCGGCACGTGAGGCCTCCGTGCTCCGGATTGCTACTTGATGCTTTTCTTTAAGCTAGGACATATACTGTACTTATAGTAGGGTGCACTTGGAACAACTGGCGTATGTTTGCACGACTAATTATTTTGGAATGTAGCGCCTCAAGTGTGATGATTATGTCATGTGCCCGGATTTCGCGTGGTTTGTTCGTGCGTTCGTTTACCTCTCCTCGCGGTAAAAACGACGCTACTCTTACATTTGTCGGCCATTGATTCGTGGAGGCAACACACGGAACGTGTGATTCCGAAATATGCCTACATCATTCATTTCTCTCCATGCACAAGTGATCGTTTCGGTTTATCATTAGTCCCCGGGCATCTCGTTGGTCTATTTTGCGCCAAGGGTGAAACTAACCCACTGCATGCGCACCCAGCATCCAGGTTGCTTAGTACTCCGCGTACATAGATTTATGTCAAGTCAAAAAATTGCAATGTTTTTTTTTAAATCTCTACTACTTGAAAAGAATGCAAGGTTCCCGTTTCACCTTTGTTCCCATCATCACTTTGTTCAACCTTCCCATAATCAATTACCCCATTTACTTTATTCGCAATAAAAATAAATTTTCTACCTCATTTACTTACCTTCTGAATCAATTTCACTTTAGTTTACTAACCAAACTTATCTTTGAAACATAAGGTAAATCACTAAACATTTATTTACACACTCACATTAATATTTATACCCCGTAGCAATGCACGGGCAAATACATAATTTATATTAAAAATATCAACCATCCACAATAACAAATATATATAACCTAATTGTATTGTTTTTGCATTGTGAATGTTAATACCTTTTTTCTACAAGTTTGATCAAAATAGAGATACTTTGACTTTCAACAAAACTTACATTACACAAACCAAAAAGGATTGGAGGGCGTACTTTGGGTTGCCTAATAATCATGCTTCTACAGTGAGATTTTCTCTACTTTAGAAGGTGTTTAGCCACTTTTGACTATTTTCATGGCTATAATTTCTACAACGATCATAAAATAAGCTCAACAGGGGCACAACTGTTCCCACCTACAAACCATGACTTGCCAGTCGAGTTGACCCCAAAACATTTGGCGGAGTAACCCGTAAAAAACACCGGTAAAAGAAAAAGGGTAGAGACATTATCCTCACGGCGAACAAAAAGGGTAAACCTTCATCTAAAGATAAAGTAAAAAGTTCACGGCTTCCATTTACTCCACGTACAAAACACCGGAAGCAAGCTGTGGGCAAAAAGCGGGCGCCCGTGCGTCGCTGTTGCATCCATCCACGCCCTAAAAGACCAACACAAAAAGTGCAGGCTTAGAGCCACAGGCCACAGCATACAGGACGTTTAGGTGCAGGTACAGTGGGTATCGTGGACGATGACGGCAATGGAAGAGGTCTAATCAGAGTTGGGTTTCGATGGTCTGCTCGCGTAACATGATTGATGATATCCGGATCCCGGCCACGATATGCACTCCGGTGGTGCATGTGCACAATATTAGATATAGATACTACCATCGGAGTGTCATCTACAGTATGGTCTATAGGAGGGACTATCTTAGAACCAGGACACCTCGCTTACTACTACTGCTAGTACTAATTCTGAATGCCAAATGAGTGGCCGAAGCAGCGCAGCAAGCAAACGCACCTATCAGAGCCCTGTATCGGGCGCCAATAATGAGCCCTAGATCGTGTCACTGCTATCACTGTGTGTGTACACTGTAGGCGGTATCAATCAAATGTAGCCTCATTCACGGCCGCTACTGTACGTTGCTACTACCGGTACGTACGTGCCTAGTGCCGTCAATTTTCTCGTGCATGCTAGTATCCATCCTCGCAAGAAAAAGAAAAATAGACAAGCTGGAAAACAAAATGGCGATGCTAGCTGATCCTGATAGCACTGCAGCACGTGTTTTGCCTTTTGTGCTGTTGCTAAACTGTTTTGTCTCGGCGTAGATTGTTACTACACCCTAATAAAATTAGATTTTTTTTCAGTACTCGTAACATTTCACGTGGTTGGATGGTGAAAACATACCCATCCGGGAGCAAATAAAATTAGATTTTTTTTCAGTACTTGTAACATTTCACGTGGTTGGATGGTGAAAACATACCCATCCGGGAGCAAATAGCAAAAGCCTTGTGCTACTCTACGCCGCGCGCCATCAATATTGCTGTGTTTGGGGTGGCGGTAAAAAAAGTGAAAAGAGAGAGGGGGAAGAAATTAATTGGAGGCCTATTTATTCTCCTGTCCCCGTCCGTCTCTGCCCCCAAAAGGAAAACCAGCCTGGTTTCCCCAGCGCAAGCCGGCCACCGCAACCAACCACCCGTCCTCGCCTCGCCGCCCGTCCGTCCGTAAAACCCAGGAGCAGCCAACAAACAGCAACAGGACTCCCTCCGTCCCTCCCTCCCAGCAACCAGCCAGCCACCACCCACCCTCACCCCCACCCCCACCGTGCCACAGCCACAAGAGAAGAGAGATGCCTCCTCCTCCCCGTTGTCCCCAGCCCCATGACCGCACTCACCACCGCCAGCACTAGCAGCGAGCCGCGAGAGGGAGAGGGAGAGCCATGGACCTGGGCGGCGTGCTGATGGCGGCCGCGGACGCGGGGGTGGGCGGCGGGGACCTGGGCATGCTCGGATCTAGGCTGCTCAAGCACGGGAGGGGCAATGCGGCGGCGGCGGAGGCCGACGAGCACGGCTGGGGCAGCGGCAGGCCGCCCGCCAAGCAGGCCCGGGTCGCGGCCTCGGCCGCGTCCGGGGACAGCGACGCCGTGTCCGAGGCCGTCAAGGCGGCGGCACCCTACCTGCTCGGCACCTGCAGCCCCGGGCACGGCCGGGAGAAGATGCTCAGCTTCTCCTCCTCGCAGCCGCCCTCCTGCCCCTCCTCCGCCGCCGCCGCCGCCGCTCAGGCCGCGCTGCCGCTCTACTACGGCACGCCCGCTTCTTGCTCAGGTGGACCCTTGCTTCTCTGTATTTCAAAGCTTGCTACTTCTTCTGAACTAGTTTGATTCAGAGTTTCTGCCTTCTCTGGGATTCAGAGTTTGGAGTGTTTGTGATATTGATTCATTCTCGACTAAAATATCTTTTCACACGGCGCTTCTTTACTATTTTCGCCTAGATTCGGAGGCTTATCATCATCACAAGTTCTTTTTATTCTATCTTCTTCAATTTTTTCTGGATTCCCTTGATTGGATCAGTGACCAGAAAGAGTTCACATCATCTGTAGAAAAGAACAGAAAAGGAGAGCACCGTTTTTGTTACTACTATTTTAATAGGCTTTTTATTGGGATCATTCTTGAAATTTGCCTGGACAAGTTTCTCCGCCACTTTCTGGTGACATCCACGAACTCTTCTTTGTCCTCAACGGCGCGATCGTGCGGATTCCTTTTTGTCACCCCCTTTTGTAAAATAATACTCCTCCCTAAAGAAGGAAAGATCGAAATGGATTGCAAAAAAGGTGTGATCTTTGGCACCACGCCGCCAATAGCCCACATTTTCCTCACCCAGGAAAGATTCAAGCAAAGCAGCACACTCTCAGATCGAGGTTGTTGCTTTGGATCAAAGATTCAAGAAAGATTCAAATCTTGTGTGTGCTTCTATCTCATCTGGTATTGGTTTTCTGATCTTGGCTGCCGCCCTGCCTCAGATTTCCTCCCGCCTCTTGCTTGCTTGCCCCTGTCGAGAAAGTACTACACATTTATTTGTTTTGGATTTGCCTTCTTGTCTTGCACTGCCTGCCTTGTTGCTCATCTGCTTGTTGTATTGTTATCATGGGTGCCAGGGTTGAGCTCGGTGAGCTTGAGCGCCAGCATCCAGAACGCCATGGCCAGGGTGAGGGGGCCCTTCACGCCGTCGCAGTGGATGGAGCTGGAGCACCAGGCCCTGATCTACAAGTACCTGGCGGCCAACATCGCCGTGCCTCACAACCTGCTCGTCCCCATCCGCCGGAGCGTCACCTCGCTCTACCCGTCCGCCTACTTTGGCTCCTCCACATGTAAGCCACCCTCGGCCCAGCCAAGAAAGAGGATAAAAGCTCCATTCACCATTGCCATGATAAAAGTTAGTGTTTGATTGATGGATTGGATTCCGACTTTACTGATCTTTGGATGATTGCGTTGGGTTGTGGATGTGTGCTTTGCTTTGCAGTGGGGTGGGGGCCTTTCCAGCTGGGCTACTCCGGGAGCGCGGACCTGGAGCCCGGGCGGTGCCGCCGGACGGACGGCAAGAAGTGGCGGTGCTCCAGGGACGCCGTCGCCGACCAGAAGTACTGCGAGCGGCATATGAACCGGGGACGCCATCGTTCAAGAAAGCATGTGGAAGGCCAGCCTGGCCATGCCGCGAAAGCGATGCCTGCGACGGTGGCGGCGGCTGCTGCCCAGCCCGGTGCTCTCGCCACCGGGGGCGGCGGCGGAGCTACCGCCGGCGCCGCCGCCATCTGCCACGAGCAGCAGCCGTTGAAGAACTACGCCGCGAACACCATTGATCCTTGTTCACTGCAATATAACAGGTACGCTCATCATCATGCAACCATGTCCTATTGTCCTTTTTCCTAGCAGTTTCGAGTGCTTCAGTTCAGAACAGGACAGGTGATGCAGTATTTGCATAGTAGGTAGACTATAACTGCTGCTGCTATATCTTCAATAGATTTTTCTTTGTTGTTTATAGTCACTAAATCATTAGAAATGTAAGCCCATTTTGGTTCTGCTCATTTGAAGTAGCTCGCATCATGCTTTGCCGAAGGAAAACATTTTAACACCACTATGCTTAAATTTTTCAGTGATATTGAGTAGTCGGGAGCCCTTTGTCGATTCGCTTTCCTCAGTTTATTAAGGCTCGAACTGCTTTGTTTCTTGTGGATCACCATTTCCAGTAGCCCCAGCTGTTCTAGTTTGGTGGGATGCAACATGCTCAACAGAACTCTGGCAGTAGTGCTATAGTGTGATGTGCTTGAGTTAGTCGGTGTTCTCGGTTTTCATGGTTTTATCTACTTTTACCAGCTCAATCAGTGTCTCCTTCTGTTCATGATGTTCACTAGCCCTGAAATGCCAACTGTCATATGTACCATGCTGTACAGTACTAACCAAGCACATGTTGATCAATCTTCTTCAGGGAAATGGTGAGCAAGCAGCAGCAACACGAGTGCGAGCAAGTGCAGGACTCCGACACCCTCTCGATGCTGACCTCCATGAGCGCGAGGAACACCAACACGGGCAGCATGTTCCCGTTCTCAAAGGAGCATCACAATCACAATCCTTTCGAGGTGACGAGCTCAAGGCCGGACTACGGGCTGGTTTCATCCGACTCGCTGATGAGCTCCCCTCACAGCTCCCTGGAGAACGTCAACCTGCTCACCTCGCACTCGCAGCGAGCGCTCTCCAACGAGCAGCAGAGCTCGCTCTCCCTGCAGCACTTCGCGGACTGGCCGAGGACGCCCTCGCAGCAGGGGCAAGGAGGAGGAGGTCTCTCATGGCCGGACGCCGAGGACATGCAAGCACATCAGAGGACCCAGCTCTCGGTGTCCGCCGCTCCAATGGCGTCCCCCGACCTGTCGTCGGCCTCCACGTCCCCGATCCACGAGAAGCTCATGCTGTCGCCCCTCAAGCTGAGCCGCGAGTACAGCCCCATCGGCCTCAGCATCGCGGCGACGGCGGCGGCGGCGAAGGACGAGGGGGAGGCGAACTGGATGCCCATGTTCCGCGACTCGTCCATGGGCGGGCCGCTGGGGGAGGCCCTGAACAAGAACAATGGCGGCAACATGGAGGCCAAGAACTACCTGTCGGCGTCGCTGAACCTCATGACGGACGCCTGGGACTCGAGCCCGCTGGAGTCGTCCCCGGTGGGGGTCCTGCAGAGGACCGCCTTCGGGTCGGTGTCGAGCAGCACCGGCAGCAGCCCCAGGCAGGAGTACCACGGCGTGTATGATGGTAACCCGCGGGATGATCTCGGCTCCATCGTCGTGAATCACCCCAGCATCCGCCTCATGTGAGCTGCTTCTTCCGAGTTCTGACCATGGCAGCTGCAACGAGAAGGCCCAGGCCGGTTGTCACTCGTGTGGCAACGAACGAACGAACTTGGGCAAGTCTTCTTCTTCACGGACCTTGTTACATATCGACATCATCGTATCCAGAAGCATTTTACGTTGTAGTTTGCCATTTGAGACTAATCTGTTGTTGTCTTCTGCTTCAGGATGTTGAGTTCTTTTTGTTACCTTTTTCTCTGTAACCTTTAGACTTCGCTGGGTATTGACGTTTTGTGTGTGTGTGTGTGTGTGTGTGTGGATGGATTTGGTAGTGCTACGTTGTTGCATAATGTGATAATGTCCAATTAATGTTGCGATGCCATAATAGTTGAGTCATTTATTTTGAAACGGAGGGAGTACCAAATTAGCGGGGATTACACTAAACAAGCATCTCCAGGAACTATCGCTGCGAATTCCTTAGTAGGAGCATCACTAGCAGATCCCGTAAACCGGGCCATTCGGCAAAATAACTGCCGGTTTGTGAGACGGGGCTGTATACCCGGTCCGAATAGATCCCCAAAATCCGGCTGTCCCGATTTCTTTTTTGTGGGATCCTTCAAACCGCAACCCATTTTCTTCATATCTATGGGAGGAGCTACTTTTTTTACGGCACCCTCTATCCTTGGTGGGAGGGAAATTTCAGATCCAACCTCTTCCCTTGCAGCCTGCGTTATGTTCTCCCGAGCTCGATTCCGGCCAAATCTCGTCGCCGGTGCACGCGGGCGGGCATTTCCACTTCATCGACTATTTCATAGCTCCAGAGTTTCCCAAAGAAAGTTCTTTTGAAGGTAAAACCATCCCTGCCTTTCTCAATAGCTTCAAACACTGGTATATTATGATTAAAACTACAATTGCATACTACTCCCTCCGTCCTATAATATAAGAGTATTTTTGGCACTACTATAGTGTAAAAAACTCTCTTATATTAGGGGACTGAGGGAGTACAACATAGGAGATTTTTAGTGGTTCATTATCCCAACCCAAGAGTCCTCCCAAAATCAGGACTTTTTTCCATTTCCAATCACTTTTTTGTAATATTGATAAAAAAACATCATTGTTTTTTAGAGTACTAAAAAAAGGGTAAATCTCCAACTTTAGGTTTAATTCCATAGATGCATTTTGTTAGATAATTCCAAAGATGCATTTGTTCTTCACATATTTATTTAAGGGCACATCATGCCACATGCCAGGTTTGGTTTCTAGCTTCCAGAACCATCTGGTTAGAAGTGCCTCGTTTGTTAGTTCCAAATTCAGAATACCCAACCCACCTTGATATTTAGGCTTACAACAAGCTTTCCAATTCATTAAATGATATTGGTTTTTATCTTCATCATCTTGCCGCACAATTCTAGCTCTAAAAAAAGCTCTTTTTCTAACCCCCCAACAGGTACTAGACATAAATATATCATGAAGAGAGGATTATTAGTTAAACAAGCTTGCACTAGGGTAACTCTGCGAGTTGCGTTCAGTAGTCTCCCTTGCCAACATCCAGGATTATTAGTTAAACAAGCTTGAACTAGGGTAACTCTGTTAGTTATGTTCAGTAGTCTCCCTTGCCAACATACACATCGTTCCTCAATTTTATCTTCAATTCACTTCCAATATGTATTCCTAATTCTTACATTAGACATGGGTAGTCCTGGCCATGGGAAGCCTGGCCCGGCGCTGCCCCCGGGCCGGGCTCGGGCCGGGCCCAGGCCCGTCATTTTTGCAGTTTATTGAAGGTCGGGCCGGGCCGGGCCGAAGCCCGACGGGCTTTTAGGTGTTCGGGCAGGGCTCGGGCCCAGAAACACAGGCCCGATGGCCGGGCCGGGCCGGGCCCAGGCCTGGGTTTTTTGTGTCGGGCTTGGCTAGGCCCGGCCTGAAGCCCGGCCCGGCCCGAGGTTTGGCCAGGTATAGACATGGGTATCTTGGCTCACAAAGAAAAAAACCCCTGATATAAGTCAATTTTCTCAACATGCACAACACATGCATAATTCACTTTTATGGAAATTTAAAGTTAAACAAATATTTGTTCAAATATCGTAAAATAAAATTTGTGTCATCGTCTTCTAAAATAAAATAAAATTTTGTAGCACTACTTTCACCATCTTGTAAAATAAAACTTGTGTCTTCTACAAATTGCAGGGTATTAACCCCATTATCCACAAATTCTCCCAAGGATCCTTTTACATGCCATTTAAAGGGCATGAACAACTAAATCAAATAAAAGGCGATAAAGGGCATCCCCTATCTCAAACCCTTGTGAGTTTTGAAATAAGGGCCAATTTTGTCATTGACCTTAATCCCAACATGTCCTCCCATCATAGTGAACATAATCCAATCACACCATTTATCTGAAAATCCTTTTAGTTTGAGCATTTGATGAATAAAAGGCATTTAATATTGTCATAAGCCTTTTCAAAATCCATTTTAAACAAAGAAGATCCTCTTTGTTGTGATGAATATAGTTCAAGGCTTCATAGCACAACACCTTTCATTATATATCCGCCTTTAATAAAGTTGAGTGTTGAATAACAAGATTCACCATCCTAGTTAGTCTGTTCATTAGAACTTTAGTAATGATTTTAAAACTCACATCAAGCAAACATATAGTTCTAAAATTTTGAATTGGTTAAGCATCATTGGTTTTTAAAACTAGAGTAATAATGCCATAATTAAGTCTAGCAATATCAAAGGTTCCTGCATGAAAATAATCCAATAGGATTTTTATATCCCATTTAACTATATCCTAGAAGTTTGATAAAAATCAGGAGGAAGTCCATCGGGCCTTGGGCTTTTGTTCTTTCCATTTGATAGGCAACAATCTTTAGTTCATCCGTGGAAAGGAGCACAACTAACTTCTCGACATCAACCCTAGAGATTTGAGGTATGTCATGAAATATTGAGAGAAATGTTGGGTTCCTCGGCCAGCCCAAACAACTTTTTTTTATAAAAGTGAGTGATATAAAACATCAACTCCACTTCCCCTTCAATAACCCACTCCTCTTGTTTCAATGAATTTTTTTTTCTGTCTTCTTTTACCTTTGCTTTAGCAAGATAATATCTAGTATTTGAAGGAAATATGCCCTAGAGGCAATAATAAAGTTGTTATTTTATATTTCCTTATTCATGATAATGGTTTATTATTCATGCTAGAATTGTGTTGATGGGAAACTTAAATACATGTGTGAATACATAAACAAATACCGTGTCCCTAGTAAGCCTCTACTAGACTAGCTCGTTGATTAAAGATGGTTAAGGTTTCCTAACCATAGACATGTGTTGTCATTTGATAACGGGATCACATCATTAGGATAATGATGTGATGGACAAGACCCATCCGTTAGCTTAACATATGATCGTTCAGTTTATTGCTATTGCTTCCTTAATGTCAAATACATATTCCTTCGACTATGAGATTATGCAACTCCCGGATACCGGAGGAATACCTTGTGAAAGGATTGATATAGTTGACTAGAGGGGGGGGGTGAATAGGCAACTAACATTTTTTAGCTTTTCTTGACCAAGTTAAACTTAGCATCAAAATAGGTTGTCTAGATGTGCAACTAGGTGAGCAACCTATATGATGCAACAACAACAAGCACACAAGCAAGCAAGGGATACAACACACTAAAAGCTTGCACAAGTAAAGGTAAGAAATAACCAAGAGTGGAGCCGGCGGAGACGAGGGTGTGTTACCAGAGTTCCTTCCGTTTGAGAGGAAGTACGTCTCCATTAGAGCGGTGTGGAGGCACAATGCTCCCCAAAAAGCCACTAGGGCCACCGTACTCTCCTCACGCTCTCACACAATGCGAGATGACACGATTCCACTATTGGCGCCCTCGAAGGCGGCAACCGAACCTTTACAAATAAGGTTGGAGTTATCTCCACAACTTAATTGGAGGCTCCCAACAACACCACGAAGCTTCACCACAATGGAATATGGCTCCGAGGTGACCTCAACCATCTAGGATGCTCAAATACCCAATAGTAACAAGATCCGCAAGGGATTAGTGGGGGGAATCAAATTTCTCTTGGTGGAAGAGTAGATCGGGGCCTTCTCAACCAATCCCTAGAAAATCAACAAGTTTGATTGGCTAGGGAGAGAGATCGGGCAAAAATGGAGATTTGAGCAACAATGGAGCTTGGGGAGGGAAGAGGTGGTCTTCTTGGGGAAGAATACCCCCTTTATATAGTGGGGGAAAAGATCCAACCGTTATCCCCTCTCTCAACCCGCGCGACACGGAATTACCGCACACGGCCGCTGTACTACCGCACAGGGTTGCGGCACTACCGCTGCCGGGTGCGGTACTACCGCTTGCGCGGTAGTGACCAGATGAGGGCTTGTTGCATAGGGCAATAAGCGGTAGAACCGTCGGAGCAGTACTACCGTGCGCCCCTACAGTGCTACCGTAAGGCAGGTATCAACTCGCACTGGAAATGCACATAAGTGATAAATTACTTCCGTCACAACTTCCGCCGAGGTTGGAACTGTACAAAAGTCCGACACGGTAGTACCGGACAGATGTCACGGTACTACCGCATAAGGGTGGATGTAAAAAATTACATCCGCGCCTACTTCCGCATGCATCAGCGTCAGGGCTGGAGGCAGCGGTACTACCGCTCATAAGGGGTGGTACTACCGCTGACAAGGAGCGGTACTACCGCTGGCCCCTGTGGTACTACCGCTGGCCCCTGCGGTACTACCGCTCCCTTGAGTAGTACTACCGCACGCCACAGAGGCTTTAACACTTGGCTGCCTTCATATCGTAGAGACATGGATAAATGGACGGTGCTCCATCGAAGCGAAGGAAAGGTGGTGCAAAGGAGCAGATGTGTACGTGTTGATTCCACCCTAACCTTTCTGAAGCGGACCCCCTCTTAATAGTACGACTTTCCTACGACTCAAATCCACCAAAAACAAACGTAGAGACCAGCCGTCTTCTATAGGCTCCGAGGGGCACCGAATCGTCTTGTGCCTAGAC